ATGGGTTGGAACAGTGTCTCAAGGGCCTGGGCAGGCAGTGAACCACCATCCAGATTATCTTACGGCTCTGAGATCGGAGCAGCCCATTACACAGTACTAATTTCTATATCGGTGATAGTCTAATGGTTAGTGCAGCGGACTCCAATGCGGACAACCCAGGTTCGATTCTCGGCAACAGACTATAAATATATTTTCTCTGGTCGACAGAAAAACAGCATACCAGTTAGTAGTATTGAATGAGGTGTGAGTTAGCGTAGTGGTAAGCGCCCAGGTCTGCGCGCAGGTGGTTGCAGGTTCGAATCCCACCGGGTCCGCGCAGGGTCCCCACTTTAGTGGGGTGGGCGGACCCCCTCCCACCGGGAACCTCGAAACCCTGGTTGGTTAATCAAGAGAATGCGCGAAAGCGCAAGTGAATACATAGATCTGAAACGTCCAGTATAGGGCGTCTAGTAGAGACCGCCTAGCTATCGATCCCTCGATCGATAGCAAAGCGTCGGCTCAACAGCAAGTCAGTAGCAATGTCGGCCCAACATCGTCAGGATATAGGAGTGACGAGTGGGCCGACTACTGTGCTTGTGACCCTGACTACTCAGCACAGGAGGCCAACCCATCAGTTGAATTCACCGCCGGTGAACCATCGGTCATTGTTTACAGTATTTCATATAAATGTCCCTCATGTACGCCAATTTCTCCCGAAAGGGAGTCCTCTACGGGCTAGGTGGAGGAAATTTTTTTTTCGCGTTACTTTTTTCGGGCGAGCGGGGAGGGACCCGCGCGCCTATATGAGCAATTTTACTCACAGCAAAATCACACCCTTTTGGAGCCGATTTCGAAACTGAGCCTCAGAACCGTCTTGAAAGTGTTACCAATCGACTCGGTTGCTCCTTCTGAGTACAATGGTGCTACTCTCGGGTCAGTTTATAGATTTCCTGACGAGTAATTGGGGATTAAAGATTTTTGTTCATAGTGACCTCGTCATTTAGGTACGACAGTGCTTGTCAGTTGATCTGGCGCAGTGGTAAGGGCGCGCGCTCTCCACCGGAAGGTCCCGGGTTCGAGTCCCGGGGAGGGATAAATTGTCTCATGATCAGTTAATATACTAAATGATATAGTTATGTTTTATATATACAATTTCGTGGCGCGTGAGAAGTATATGCAACCAGTAGTACCATTATTCTACTTGTATATATACAGTCTGTGGGTGTTTACGAGTCGAGTGGTAGTGCTGAGGGTGAGTTGATGTTGGATACAGAACGAGGGGGTCGAGTGTAGTTTCGAGGAATGCACTGTAGTAATCACCAGGTTAGAGTGGGTATTAGCAGTCATGGCTGTCCTGTTCAAAGTTTTCGGGTGTCATCATTACGCGTGTCATGCACAGTCAGCATGGTCTAATAGGTTAGGATGCACGTCTTCCACTGCGTAGATCCAGGTTCGAATCCGGGTGAATGTACTTTTCCTACATTGAGTAAGACCCGAGATAGGCTTGATGCACGGTGGCGTGAGTCAGTGAATGGGTTGGAACAGTGTCTCAAGGGCCTGGGCAGGCAGTGAACCACCATCCAGATTATCTTACGGCTCTGAGATCGGAGCAGCCCATTACACAGTACTAATTTCTATATCGGTGATAGTCTAATGGTTAGTGCAGCGGACTCCAATGCGGACAACCCAGGTTCGATTCTCGGCAACAGACTATAAATATATTTTCTCTGGTCGACAGAAAAACAGCATACCAGTTAGTAGTATTGAATGAGGTGTGAGTTAGCGTAGTGGTAAGCGCCCAGGTCTGCGCGCAGGTGGTTGCAGGTTCGAATCCCACCGGGTCCGCGCAGGGTCCCCACTTTAGTGGGGTGGGCGGACCCCCTCCCACCGGGAACCTCGAAACCCTGGTTGGTTAATCAAGAGAATGCGCGAAAGCGCAAGTGAATACATAGATCTGAAACGTCCAGTATAGGGCGTCTAGTAGAGACCGCCTAGCTATCGATCCCTCGATCGATAGCAAAGCGTCGGCTCAACAGCAAGTCAGTAGCAATGTCGGCCCAACATCGTCAGGATATAGGAGTGACGAGTGGGCCGACTACTGTGCTTGTGACCCTGACTACTCAGCACAGGAGGCCAACCCATCAGTTGAATTCACCGCCGGTGAACCATCGGTCATTGTTTACAGTATTTCATATAAATGTCCCTCATGTACGCCAATTTCTCCCGAAAGGGAGTCCTCTACGGGCTAGGTGGAGGAAATTTTTTTTTCGCGCGACTTTTTTCGGGCGAGGGCAGGGCCCCTCCGCCCGTTATCAGAGCCAATTTATACACATCGAAGATGGTACCGTCCCTAGCCTTTTTCGCGATCTACCCATAATATCGAGTCGGGACTAGTACCAAACGAATCCTTATCGAATTTTAGGAACAATGGCATCAGCCGTTTTCTGGTTTATAGCTTGTGGTAGGAGCTATAATCGATTTAAGATTCTCCGTTAGGATGTCCGCTCAAAAATCGTCACTTGCAATCTTAAAGTGGGATTGGTCTAGTGGTATGCGTCGCGGCTGACGACCGGAAGGTCCCCGGATCGAATCTCGGGTAAGATAAAACAAACTTTTTATATTATTTTAATATATCTGTATTTTAATTATTCTAAGACCTATTTCGTGGCGCGTGAGAAGTATATGCAACTTTCTATACCGCTATTCCCGATGTAACAATATGAGGTGTCGGCTCAAAGCTCATGGCTCGGCTGTGTAGGGGGCCCCACATAGTGGGGTCTGCACAGCCGAGCCGGCCGTAGGCCAGACTCCTCACGTAACCATCCCCCTCAAAGCTGCGCAGCACTCAAGTACGGCAGAGGCCGTACAGCCTAAAGGTCGAGCGGTCAGCCTCACACTCGTGAGGCATGGGTTCGATACCGGTCGACCCCCTATTAAGGGGGAATGCTAGCGCAGCGCACATGCGGACACCGCTAGGTGATCGAGTTGGTGCAGCTGTTCACGGCCTTCTATCGGAGTATAAGTGGGCCATCGACGTTGTCTCTCTACCTCAGGACTGTAACTGTGATTTGGCTCAACTTCGTTCTATCACCAATGATTACTATGAGGAGGATAAGCACTCTATCTTGGATTAAGTGGCCTAGACGATTATTGGCCGTAGTCTATCTATTAAGTGGTATAAGGAGATGCTCTAGTAGTTAGTATCTACGATTGCATCCGCTATGACGATATCTACATTGGTATCACTATCGATGTCCCTAATGACATCTCTACTTTTTCTCTATAGATCATAAACTAGATTCGTATACCTATATTGTATTTGTCTGCTTTATATAGTCAATTAAGGTATGGTTTATGAGATGGTCTCTACAGATGTGTCTAAACACGGACCATCTACGGGGTATGTGCTGACCCTCAGGCAGCGCAGGATTCTATGGCGCTCGCCTAGAATCTAACCGTTTCAATCAAAGGCTTTATTGGATTAATATACTAGATTTTAAGTTCGTTTGATCCTTGTGATCTACCCGTCCGTCTACTCTGGTGGTCTATCGTCGATCTCTATTGTGATCTCTATCTCGACTACATATAGAACTGTATCTGATCTGTATTATCTATGCATTCTATTAGTGAGTCGCCGCATTGTGTTATGCAGCTGTCGGATTATGGGCCTACTTCTAGTGAACGCTTTACACCTTTGCAATCTACTTCGCACATCGAACCACCCTCCAGAAATTCTGAAATTTCTGGTATCTGTTTACGCCCATTGTCCGCACATAAAATGCGCGGGGCGAGCGAGAAATCACCTTGACTATTCACGATTTCCCTTGAAAATCTGAATTTACCCGGACCGGGGACTACCTCCAGGACGAGTCCCTTCTACTTTTCGCCCGCCACTTTTTTGCTACAACTGCCACTTTTCTACTTCGCTCCCTGGAGGGACTGAGGAACCCTCTTTTCGAACGCGTATCGTGTCGGATGTTGTTGTTGACTTGGGATCGAATAAGCATCCCGATCGTATGTATTCGGGGTTTTGTTATATCGAGGTGCTGTGGTCAGCAGTTGGCGCAGCTTGGTTAGACGAGGCAGGTGTAGTTGCGAGATCCAGACTTGGAGTCTTGTCCAGATTCGGAAAAGACGATCACTCCATAACGACGATCATTATTTCCCAACATCATCATCTCGATCAAAATATGCCGACTAATCGAGCTCCGCCGCCCGAGCTTCGTCGTCACGAAGGCCTAGTTGTTATGGATTCGGACTGTTCTTCTTCTTGTTGTTGTTGATAATAGTAGATTGTTATTAGTATTGTGATATGGAACAACACAAGGATAATGACAACAACACATCATTATCATACTCATCATCATCTTGTCATAATATCAAGAAACAGTTAATGGAGGAAGAAGGTCGTAATGGTCGTATGCTTGTTGTTGATGATGATGAAGATTATTCAACATCGTACTATAAGAACAGCAACAATAGAGTATTGGTATTAATATGTGTCATTATTATCAGACAATCATCATCATTATCATCTACTGGTATGTTATACAATCCTAACAGAGGATTTGTTAGGGTAAACAACAACAAGAACAACAAGAAGAAGAAGAAGAATCATGACCATCATCATGAGACTGCTGCTACTGCTGATTATATATCAGAATTGGAAGATGAGGTGATAAGATAGCTACAATAATAGCTTTGTGATAATGTCGGTGTGGTCGGATGATGGGCTAAGAATAGGTAAGATTGGGTAAGGATGAGATACGACGATTAAAGAGTGAAGCGTTAGAGCATAATAGAATAATAAGCTTATTGATGGATGAAATATATGTTGCTAGAGAAGATTTAAAGAGGAGACGAGAGTAATAATGACAACAACAACAACACATGAATGCTGCTCTTCTTACTATTACATTCTTATCATCATCAGACAAGAAGAATTAATAGCAAATGAGCATATAATATTAAATAATGCTCAACAGGAAGAGATGGCTATATTGAAGGAAGATAATCCTAATCTTAGACAACAATTACAAGTATTAGCAATAACAACAACAACAACACACGTCATTATTGTTATTATCATCAGGAATGTCGGATAACTTTAATGAGTTTACAGATGAAGTATAATAAAACTGAATGATGACAATAATTATGATGAACACACATGACGATGTGCTTCTTCTTCTTCTTGCTAATGTTGTTAATGTTATTATAATATCGTCTATTGTGTTATAGGGATAATAATACAACTATTATACTAGGGACAATACTCTTGTTATCATCACCATATTATGTCTTCTTACGATGATTAACTTCATCAATATTAACAATAAGGATGATAATGATGATGATATGATATCATGCATATCATTACTCAAATTTTCATCATCATTATCATCATCATCCTTTTACTATCTATATACCATGTGGTTTGTATCATTTATATTTGCTGCATGTTCAGTAATAATATCAATACTTGCTATACGAGATCATCTAATACATTACAGGTAATAATAATAACAACAGTAATACCACACCAACACCAACAACAACAGGACAAATATATACTATATTGTTGTTATTATTTTAGGAATCCTATAATACAACGTAAGATAATAGGTATTCTATTTATGGTACCGGTATATGCAATAACATCATGGCTTAGTCTATTGTAATAAGGTTAATGCATGTCATCATTACTACTACTAGTAATAGTAGTAGTATTACTCAGATGTCATATTATCAGGTTCATCAATCATAGCATGTACTTGGATATGATCAGAGATTGTTATGAATCGTAATAATAATAATACTCCTACTCTTCTTCTTCTTTCTGCTGCTGCTACTGCTACTGCTGCTTCTGGTGGCTGTAGATTATCATTGTCATGATTATTATTATTCAGATTCGTTATATATACATTCTTCTCCTTGAATTATTGTTATATAACACAGGATGATAATAATAATGATGATGATGATACACTTGATAATAATAAGATAATAAGAGTGTTGGAGGATAAAGCATATATTAACCATATACCACCAGTATCATGTTTTATAACTAACCCGATACATCGTACTATATTATTAACAACCACTACTACTCCATCACAATATCATTATAGTACTACTATAGATGCACTCAATCTCTCTAGGTCTATGGTAGTACTACCATATAATAATAATAATGATGATCATCATCATCATACACCATATAATAATGCACATAATAATACGACAGGCTTATTATTATTATCACATATAGAACGAG